TTTCATTGACACTTCTGGATATAATGGAATTTTGCCTTGTAGCAAACTGTTAAGAGTTAGCTGCCATATTCTCAATGAGGTTTCTTGCGGCTGCAGGAGTCTTGTCAACTAGGGCTCCCCCACTAGCTGCATCGATCATGCTCCTATCCATTGGGTGTAAGCCTTCATAGAAGTATTGGATTAGGAGTTGGTCACTTATCTGATGATGGGGGCAGCTAGCACAAAGTTTCTTGAAACGCTCCCAATATTCATACAAACTTTCCCTCTCCAGCTGCCTAATACCACATATTTCCTTTCTTATTGAGGCAGCCCCTGAGGCAGGGAAAAATTTTTCCAGGAACAATCTCTTGAGGGTGTCCCAACTTGTAATAGAGCCAGGTGGAAGATAATACAACCAGTCTTTAGCCAAATCCATAAGAGAAAATGGAAAAGCCTTTAATTTCACATGCTCTTCAGGCACACCTTGTGGTCTCATTGTAGAGCAAACAATATGAAATTCTTTGAGGTGTTTATGCGGATCTTCACCTGCAAGACCATGAAATTTAGGCAAAAGATGGATTAGGCCAGTTTTAAGAACAAAAGGGGCATCCACATCCGGGTATTGGATACATAAAGTCTGGTAGGTCACGTCCGGTGCGGCAAGCTCCTTAAGTGTCAAGTCATTTTCTGCCATTTCTAAAGGTTCAGAATTTAAAGAATGCAGAGAAGAATATATAGAAGATGGAGAAAATGGTGAAGATGGTTCCTCGATATGTGCAGAATTTTGTCTACTAAGGTTCCTAAGATTTCTATGGAATGTCCTATCAATTTCAATATCTGGAGGATATAAATCTCCCGGATTTGATCTGGTCATTCATTAGGAATTGTCTATGGAAATTTGAAAAGAAGTAAACTAATGAAGCAGTAAAAATGCAGAAAAATTCAGATGACAATTATGCAGAAAAACTAACATCTAAGTGCAGTAAAATAAAGCATTAACACCAAACAGCAAAAACAGAAAGAAATTACAAACTAGGGAATGAAAATAGGCAACACACAAACACGAATTCTGCAGAATTATGCAGCAGAAACAGGGTAATTGCAGCAAACAAAAATACAGTGTGGTAAACTAAAATGCAGAAATCAGAATTCAAACAATATGCAGAAAACAGCAATTGGTTCTACCTAAATGCAAGATATCTCTACTTACCTATGAAACTACAACTATACTAAAGTATTCACAATGCAGAAAACGAAAATGAAAACAGAGCAAATAACATTTTTATGAAAAATCAACACCAATCCCCGACAACGGCGCCAATTTGATGATGGTTTATTTTAAGGTGTTTAAAAGATTTGTCGTAAATCCTCATCAAAATTTAAACAAATTAATGTATTACTAGGGTAACCCTAGATTGTCTCCCGTGAACATTGGTTATTAATCTTCATTAAACATGTTGAAGGCATTAATTGAACAAGCAATTAAAATGGGGGGTTTTGTGGTTTCAAATCAAAATAAAGAGCAATGAGCAAATGAGTTTAATTAATTCAAACAATAGAAAACAGCAATCCTTATTTCATCCACATAGATTCTATCCTCATTCCACTCAAGATTTAACATTCATCCTCTCTTCCATGAATTAGGTTAATTTAACAAGCGAAAATCAACCTTATGGTCCCAACAAAATTACGCAATTTGTTAGGCTCTAATCTCTCATCCCAAAATTACGCAACCTTAGAATTAAACCTAGGATTAAGCAACCCTTAGTTTAGAATCTCCTTAAAATGAAATTAGGGTTAATTGAGCAATACGCCCCTCATTCACCATTAATTCAATTCAAGAGATAAGGAAGAAGTAATTCATGAAAGAAAGGAATTATATTATCATTAAATTCAAGGAACTCAAGAACCCATGTGAATTCACTAAGGATTACACAAACTTAGCCCTCCATGGAAATGGGGGTCAAAAACGCAATTGGGAAATGCAGAAAACTCATTAACATTAATGTAAAAGCAAGAGAAATGAGAAACCAAACCCTAGGTTGGACCCTTGGCTGTCACCCAAGGTTGCCCTAAGCTCTGGAAAATATCCTAAATTGAGTAAAGAAGAGAAAAAGTTCAAAAAGTGTAAGAACTCTCTACCCTAATTTGGTAAAAATCTATTTATACTAAAGCTGGCGCCCTCCAAAGTAGTTACTCTCATTCTTTCATAGTAACCACGCGCAGTAGCAGTTGGGTTTTTCCTCTCTGGAGTGATTACTATGAATATTCATAGTAGTTACGCGCAGCATCTTCAATTTGTGCATGCTCTGGAGTAATTACTATGAATATTCATAGTAACCACGCGCAGGTTTGGTTGATTCTGGGCTACTGTAGTTGTCACTTTAAGCTTTGAAAGTGATCACTTTGGTCCCTTTGCTGGAAGTGGCTTGCTGTAGTTGTCACTATCAATATTGAAAGTAGTTACTTTCACCTCAAATTCCTCAAAATCCAATAATTCTTCAAAATAAGCTTGGGGATTCCTGCCATATTATTCAAATGATCAAAATATGTAAAATAAACTATCTAAATTCATGTAAATTAACAAAAAACTAAGAAACCTATATTATTTAGCCTAATTGGAATATTCATCTTATTTACACTATCTAAGTCTATTCTTTTCTATAAAAAGTAATAAATGATGTATAAAAATGTAGTAAAATGTAGATTCATCACAAGTAAACTTATAAGACAATTGCAATATCAAGTAAACATGATAATAATAATATATAAATACACACAACTTTCTGGCCTATCATGAGATTTAAATTTTATAATTTTTTATTTTATTGTCTTAAAAAACCAAGAGAAAATAGGAGAAAAAATTACTATTATCTTAAAATGTTTATAACTTATCACATGATTTAATTTATTTATTTTCTTACTTTATTGCATTGGTTCAAAAGGGAAATCAAGAAAAGAAAAACAAATGTTTAATCACAAGATTTTATTTATATTTTATTGGTTTTAATAAAAAATAAAAACATAAAAATAAAGAAAAAATAAGAAAAAGGTAAAAAAAAAAATGATTCATTTTGTTGTTTATGTCACAAGATTTTATTTTTAGTTTATTGATTTATTAAAAAAATAAATAAAAGAAAAAAAAGAAAAATGTCACTAAAAAAATGATTTATCTGTTGCTTGCGTCACAAGATTAAATTTTTAAGTTTGATTTTATATTAAAAAAAATAAAAAAAGAGTGAGAGTGCAAACAAAATGAAATCAACACAATAAAACAAGATCAATGATACAACAAAAAAAGAATAGGGATAAAGAAAACTTTATTTGATGTGTTTTTTTTGCTAGAATTTATTATTGCACTTAAAAAATAAAAAGAATTAAGAGTACAAACAAAATGAAATCAATACAACCTAAAAAGATTAATAATATAACCAAAAGCAAAAAGAGATAAAGATAACTTTACTTGATACACTTTTCTCAAAGTTTATGGTTTGCTCTCGATTTCTCCCTTTTATTGGCTTTCCTAATATTTAAATTTTGTTGCCTTTACTTTCTCATCCTCTCTAATGGTATTCTTTGAGAATATATGCTTCAAGAATGGTGATTTTATTTTTTATTTTTATTTTTTTTTTAAGTTTTTCTATACTCTCAAAACTCTCTTTTTCTTCCACTCTCTGGAGACACTTCCCTATTGTTTATAGCTCACTTTCTTAAAACCCTAAACTCTATCGTCTCCACAATCTTTAATTAATTTTTATGACCACCATCAATTAATTTATTTTTTTTACTATCTCATCTACTCTTCTAAAAATCTACACACTATTTTAATTATTTTAAAAAAAATTAAGTCAATTTTTAGTCACTGATCCACTACCTATTTTCAATTTAAAAATTAAAAAAAAATTGAATTTTTAAATTAGTTTTTATCCATTATCTTAACCTCCTACAAAATCTAATCATTATTTTTAATTTTTATTTTGAAATTTTGTTTTATTATTTTAAAAAAGAATCAAAATAAAAATTAGTTATTCACACCATAAAGGACCGAAAATATTGATAGTTTTCAGTCCTGTTGAACGTAGGATATATATATATATATATATATATATATATATATATTAACACTACTGAAAAATCGAGACTTAAAAATTTGCCATGACCATTTGAAGGGGAATTAAAAGTCCATTTCAATTAGAAATAACTTTAAAAAATCATGAAAATTCAAACCAAATTTCACATTAGACTACAACTTATAAGTTATATAATTTCATCCAAAAATGAAAATGAAAATACTGAAGTCATCAAAATTCGGTAGATAGCATGCAATGGGAGTTACGACTTAAACTTCTCCCCCTTTATACCCTACTTGAGTCACAGGCTATTAAAGCATTCTAACACTTAATTGTTTAGGTCCGACCAAAAATTAAATTTATTATATTTTAATTTATATCAAATCAAATTCTGATAATGTGATATTACTTATAAAAAAATGAAGTGAAAAACTAAATAAATAATTTTAAAATTACAAATAAATCATCTAAACTTCTTTTAGAATGATAATTTTATTTCTTTAAATATTTGTATATTCAACATAAATTACTCAAAATTTAATGTATTATCTTTATTTTGATTATATAAAATCATAAATATTTGTTGGAACTTCTTATAAGAAAACACACGTAGTGAATAATTTTAAGAGTTTAATTTTGATATATTATCAGCATGAATATTTTTACATGGTCAACTAATTGGAATACATCATAAATATAACTTTTATATCAATGATGTTTACTGATATGATCTGCTAGTTTATAATTGAATGATAGAAATAAAAAATTATATTGTCAATATATTTAAATTAAATTCGAATTTTAAACAGATAATTAGACATCAATTTGAATAATTAATGTAGATGGTATCTACCTAGAAATATAGGTTTGTTGATAGACTCGCAAACACTTGTCCTGTGTTTCAAGCTACGAACAAGATAATCTATGCAACTACGGGTAAAATTTTGTTGACGAAACATCAAATGATTTAATATCTTGGAACATCAATCGTTATCTGGAAATTAGCAACACGCGCGATACAAACCCTTAAACAAAAACAAAAGGAGATGCAAAGACAGAGAAGGAAACAAGGTGAAAAGTAAAGCATCAGTGAACAAATGTAACTATAACTTACACAGAAATTTACATACAACTACATGAATCTACCCATAGAACGACTAGCTAAAAAGATTGGGAAAAGTTATTTTTTATATGAAGGCCACAAAAATAAAAGCAAATAACACTTAGATGATGTCTTTGAACCCCATCCGTTATTGGTTGTGCGCTCTATACAATCCATGCCAATGAACTCATCATGAGAATAAAAATTGAATCAAAAGCTTTATAATGTTTCTTCTAAGAAGGAAAGTCTCTATTTGGGAAGTGGGTGCTCCTTGCAATGTCAAGTACTCAATCAAGCTTGCCCATGAATAACTTCATGCTTTCAACTACTTTCAACGCTAATCTGTTTCTTCATTATTTCTCAAAGTTGAACCACTTCCAGTTAGCATAAAGTGCTTCATTTTCAAAAGGCATGGTGTTGTTTGGGAGGGGTTGGGGTAGTTGAGTAATAAGAGGAGGAGGTAGCTTTTCCCTGTATTTCTTTGCCATCATATCAGCCTCCAAAAATACTCTCTATTGGCAGAAAATAAACAAGCATTTGTCAAGATCAATCTAATTCAAACCAAAGACCTTTGATACAAAGAAAAGGAATATATACCTCTTTATTTGATAGAAATAGACCAGGTTCACTTTCAAGGTCCGCAATGCTGCACTCCGAGAAGGCAAATAGACATCAGCAGTAATTTATAGAACTTATGTTTCTATAACACTAGTTTTGAGAGAAAGGGTTGTTAAAGAAAATGTCTCTTGGTAAAGAACAAATAAAATGTCAGCAGAGTGAGCCCAAATACTCTCTACTACTACAAAGTTAATTTATCACACTTTGCAAGAAACCCCCATAGAAGGAACGAAAGGAACAAATAGTTCAATCCTTTTCTCCTAGTTGTATCATTAGGTAACTAGGTTCGCTTCTCTCGGAGTCTCACTCAAACTCATGAATTATCATTAAGTATTGGAATTGTGCTCACATCTTTTGGTCCTTTTCTTTTACGTGTGGCAGCAAAGCCAGATCTAAAAATCGGAAAACTACGAGACTGTTCGGTTTGAGACTGTTTTCTATTTTTATTTTTTATTTAATTACAAAAACATTACTTTGTTTTCTTTTTGTTTCCTATTTTCAAATATTTGTATAGGAAACAATAGTTGTTTTATTGCTTCCTATACATATATTTGAAAACCAAAAACAAAATGAAAATGTGTCATTTCTATAATTAAAAGTGAAAATAGAACATTTTTTCAAACCAAATAGTCTCTACATTTTTCAAAAATGTATCAAACCATTTTACATAACATTTCAGCATGGAGGATATCTTATTCTCCAGCCAGCCTGTATTTTCACTATAATTTCCCAGTTAAAATTTTCTTTTTCAATGAATTTTTTTTTATTGATTAATTTGCATGAAACAAAAGATAATTAGTTTATTTGGACCTATTCTCATGACCTAAACGCATTTCTTTCCTAAACTTGTTAAAATACCAAATTCGATTGTAAAACAAGAATGGCTTTAACAGAAACGAATTGTAGCATGTTCAAGAAAGAGCCATTTAAAACCAAGGGCATCCAAAAAAATCATGTGATGATGGGGTTTCAAGCCACTTGATATCTCTGAACTCTGAAGACATGGCACTCTTATAATGCAGGTGTTTTTCTTTCTTTTTATTCATTGTGGATATGTCCCAATTTTATTTTAACTTTTTAGTTACCTTATTTTAACCTTTTCTTGAGGCTGGGTGATGCCTAACTTTGTAAGGAGTTCTTGTGCCGTAAGGGGGAGGGCTAGGAATAGGAATTTTAATTTTTAATTTTTAATTATCTTGTAAGTTTTATTCTTATTCATTAAATATCCCCAAATAAACAGTACCAAAGACACTCCACAATTACATATGGAAGTCAATAGTCAACAATCTATTACCTTAAAGAAATTTTATCAGGAGTCACTGACTTCACAACCAGAACTTTAACCTTCTCATCAATGGAAAGTATGTCACTGACAGAAGTAATCTCAGCTCGAGTGATATTTGAAACATGAAGCAATCCACTGAAGGTATCCAACAGATTAATTTGAATGTCAGGTTATATATATACTGAAGGTACCAAAAAATGTCAGCTTGATGAACTAAACAATTAAAACTCATGATAAATTAAATGTGAGGTTATATATATATACAAAGATATGCAAATGTTGAAGATAATAAGGAGAATGGCATGACAAAGTAAAGCACTTTACAACAAAACAGCCAAGCCAGAATCTCAGATGATGCAACTCTTTCCAGAAAACGAAAAAGGATAGGTATGTGCTTAATGCTCATGAGTATTAAGAAAAGAATAATAAGCATGGGAGTAAGAAAGAAAAAATTGTGATCGTCCAAGGAATGATGATTCACCTTACATTTCTAAGCATGTTTAAAATTGTTTCATCAACATAGCCATGGAGCTCAATTTGAAAACAAAATAGTGTGAAGAAATTGAAAGTTAAAATACACAAGACATCAGCTAGAAAAACTCCATAAGGGGGTGACTGAATTTTTTGGCATGGCAGAAAAGAAAACACTCAAATTAATACTTCTATGACAGTCTACTCAATTCAACAGTTTCAAATGCTGCTATAGGAGGAATATTTAAAAGTGGGCAACAAACATAGTGGTAATTCACCTAATTGTTTAACTGCAATGACTGGACAATTTAATCTTGCTAGAGTTTAAGCAGGCCTTCACAATTTCATCAATTTCAAAGGTGAATGAGTAGGTTTTACCTACAAAAAACATTCAGGTTGTTGTGCATGAATTATCTAGTTTGTTTTCCATCTTCCTAACTGCCATATGTAGGATCAACTTGCGTTCACTTTTCTTTTCTCACAAGTGGCAACATCAAAGCAGGGAAGTTGGAAGCATTTAAGTATCCAACAATACACCCAGACAGAATAATTCCTTGGAAATAAGAATTGCATCTAATGAATCCTTTGAATAAAGTTCTGACTTACCCAACAGGGAAAAGGAAGCATAAATAACAACTTAGCAATCTATACCCCAGATATCACTCACCTTCTATTCGTTTTTCCTATCATAATTTGAGCTCCATAAGGAAGGATCTTTTTCACAGTCCCTTCTAGAAGTGTTCCTTCTCGAAGATGTAGCTTTTCCTGCAACATTATATTAATCACAGTATGAATTTCAAAAGAAGAAAAAAAGAAAGCAAAACTAAAAGATCCAAGTCCAATACTGAAATATTGAAACTAGGCAACAATAAAGAAGTAAATAGACAGATTTGAGTACTGACCCAAGCTTCCTTCTGACTAATTATCAAATTGTTTTTAGCTTCATCTACTAGAGTAATTTGTACATACATATGACGTCCCATCTACATGATTATCATCAAACAGTTATAAGGGCTAAGGAAATAAAATGAAGACTAAAAACAATGAATAATGACTGAAACATCAAATGTTCAAACTAAAATAGTTTTCCAGATGTTAAGAAACTGGAAAATAAGGTTGTTTTTAAGTAGAGAAATAATTTTTCATGTCATGTGCTGAGCAATTGAATTTGAAAAATAAACTACATACATTAACCGAGAGGAGGCTGATCCTACAGTATTTATGCAGTAGAACTTTATCACCATTTTTCATATTTTTAACTCCCCCATGAATTATGAGTATAAGAATTTGAAAAGACTGGTTTACATTTTTTGAAAAAGAAATACAAAATAAAATAAAAAAATATAAGCCTGAGGCCAAATATAGAGATCTTACTGAAGCAATTAGAGAAGACGTTGTTTTGAATACATAGTCAGAACAAAATGTTCTTAAATGTTAAATATTCCTAGGATACTTATTTAATAAGTAGTTATTAAAAAACTTAAAATATCAGCCATTTTCTTAAGGCTCAAACATGCCTAATGCTTGAAAAGATAATGGAATCAATTGAAAGCAACAACAAAATTGACAGGAAGATAATACAGGCAAGATAGACTGAAGCCACAGAAGACTTCAATTGAGCCCAATTGCACTATCCATATCAGTGAATTATAAATATTGTTACATGCTAATCCACTTATTAGCAAATAATACAATCATAGAGTATCAGAATTCAGATGAAGCTCATAAGCTCCAAAAATAAAATTTTATTTTATATTTTATTTATTTTAGGAGGAAAACTCCAGGACTGAAAACCTGAAACTCACATTCTCTTTCAATTCAGTAGAGCAATTTACTCTTTTCATAAGCTCAGCCTTAGGTAGGAAAGCTCGTAAACCCTGCAGATCCAAATTCAAGAAGAGATAATCATTTACTCGATACATGAAATTAAATATTAACGATATTGACACAGACCTCAATCCTTGTCAGCAGGCCCTTAGTATTCCACTCTGTGATTCTAACCTCTATAGGTTCATTGAGCTGTTTTAACTGTCTAACACATTAAAAGCAGAAGATTTAAATCTCATCATCAAAATAAGTTATTTGTATTTGTAGGTGTTAAAATTGATTAAAACAAATATCTGGCACAAGATCATGGTTTTCAATTTTTGTTATCTCATAATTCCTTGCTGACTATAACTAAATACTATACAAGTATACATGTGTTATAACATTTTCGTACCTTACCAATATATGATAATAACCTTTCCAACCTAGGAAACAAAGAGCCAAGGACATGTCAAAGTTATTGTGCCAGTGTCAAACACGCCCAGCCTACATCCTAGAATTATTTTACTTTTAAATTTTTGTATCAATATGGATGAGATGTCGTAATTAGATAAATGGTAGTATTTTATTGTGTTCACAATGATTACCATTGAATTTTGAAACAGTGATGTCTTTATTTGAATTTAAGATTTATGCTTCTATTCTAGCCTTAACCATCAAGTCCTATAACTTTCCTTCATTTGCTCTTTCTTTTTGTTGGTGTAGTGTCATAGTCATGTCCTCTATTGTATTCAAGCTTCCTAGTTTCCAACTAAGCAGTCATAAGAACTATTGCAATTGCATCCAACTCACAAATTCTACATGAAAGTTGCCTTATCCACCACACTAGAAACATGTAAGTCAAGTAAAAAGAAAAATGAAAGGAGGAGATAAACCTGCCTCAGTCGATGCCAAGCAATCCGGCGGAAAAGCCTTCTGGTAGAAAGCAATGGCCTACCAGCAAGTGTTCTACCTAAAACCTCAGCAAACAAAACAGTTCCAATCTCAACAACAGTTCCTCCCGGCACCGGCACCGTGTCTATTGCATCATCATTCTTCAGAATTCCCATCTTCCCCTGAACCATAAGATTCCCTACATCCTTGTTAACATCACATAACAAGTGTTCCATCTCATTCCCATACAAGGGAAGCACCTCCTTTGTCAACATTGTCCCTGGTAACTCTGCTCCCACATTTACATTGATCTTGTTCTGGTTGCCTGAAACAACAACTCCAACCACAAAATCCCCAGGTCTGGGCTCATAGTACTTATCATCAACTTCAACCTCCTTAGCTTCTTCATTTTCATCATCTCTTTCATCAGAGTCTTCCAACACAGAATCACCCCCTTTCAAAAACTTCATAAAGGGTGCCAAAGCCTCCTCTTCTGTGGAAGCTTTTTCTGTGTGCAATTCAGTTTCAGAAGATGACCCATTTTTAATGGGAATCAGCGAAGGTTTATTCAGCAACTCAAGTGTTTCAGTTTCATGCTCTTGGCTTCTATCATCAACAAGAGTTTCCTTAGATAACTTGTTCCCATAAAAGCCAACAAATTCCACATCCCTTGAGCAAAATGGAACATGGGTAGTGCCCAAAATTGCGAATTTATTTGTAAAAGGGAAAAAATTTTGGGGTGTTGGAGATGGGGGTTTAATGGGGTTCGCTGCATGTGGTTTGTTCCACAAAGTGTTAGTGAAATCGTGGGCATGATTAAGAGGTGATGTGTGTTTGGGAAAGCAAAGGGACTTACAGGAACAAAGAATGAATGGCATCATTGTATGGTGACACACACACGGTCATGAAATTTGATTGTGTTATCAGTTACAGGGACTGTGTTTCATATTTCTTCGTTCTATCCTCCCTCTATTTACTTCAAGAAATTAGAATCTGGTTGGATTTCAATTCGGAGTGATACCCACGAATTATCTAGTACAATTTTTCAATTGCATTAGGGATTTGAGCCCACTTAATATTAGTCTGGCTAAATCAGCAAATCAATCTTTTAATTTTTGTTTTATTTTAATTTTTTTATAATTTTTTTTTATTTCGATATGTCAAGTTAAAAGTATTTTAAATAATTTTTTTCCTGTAAAAAACATTAAATTCATATAAAAAATCATAATTCATCTTCTTTTACTACATAAATTTTGAAAAAAAAATATATAGTATATTTAGACAAATGTTTTAATTATTTTCTTCGAAGATAAAGAGCAATTTTTCAACAGGGTTAACAATTTTGATTAAAAAAACTTATTAAAAATATTTTTATAACTTAAAAGATTAAAATGAAAAAAAATTATGAAACCTAATTGAAACAAAATTAAGAATTAAGGGATGAATTTATTAATTTAATCCATTAGTCTTTAAAATTTTAATTATCAATATTGAATTTAAATATTTAAAAATATTTTTTATTAAAAACATGCATTATATTAAAGATAAATAGTGTAATAAATATAATTGACTAAATCATCATTTTAGTCACTAAAATAGTAAGCGTTAGATATTTTAATTTTTAAAATTTAAGAAATGTCACATTAGTCTCTAAATTTCATCAAAGTCGAGCATTTTAATCTCTAGACCTAAAAAGTGTTAATAAACAATAACAAAGTGTTAACATGTCAAGATATGTATAATTGATTATGTGACAAAATTAATATAATATATGTTTTCATTTCATTTTATTCTTTAAGATTGTCATTTATCAAACATTTTAATCTATAAAATTATCACCAACAAACATTTTAATCTCTTATTCTTAAATTTTTTTATCTATTCATTTTCTTTTTCTTTTTTTTTTTATTCTCTCATTAAAACTACTAAATTCATAAATATTTTGTTGGAACTTCTTATAAGAAAACACACGTAGTGAATAATTTTAAGAGTTAATTTTGATATATTATCAGCATGAATATTTTTACATGGTCAACTAATTGGAATACATCATAAATATAACTTTTATATTCATGATGTTTACTGATATGATCTGCTAGTTTATAAATTGAATGATAGAAATAAAAAAAATTATATTGTCAATATATTTAAATTAAATTCGAATTTTAAACAGATAATTAGACATCAATTTGAATAATTAATGTAGATGGTATCTACCTAGAAATATAGGTTTGTTGATAGACTCGCAAACACTTGTCCTGTGTTTCAAGCTACGAACAAGATAATTATGCAACTACGGGTAAAATTTTGTTGACGAAACATCAAATGATTTAATATTGGAACATCAATCGTTATCTGGAAATTAGCAACCGCGCGATACAAACCCTTAAACAAAAACAAAAGGAGATGCAAAGACAGAGAAGGAAACAAGGTGAAAAGTAAAGCATCAGTGAACAAATGTAACTATAACTTACACAGAAATTTACATACAACTACATGAATCTACCCATAGAAGACTAGCTAAAAAGATTGGGAAAAGTTATTTTTTATATGAAGGCCACAAAAATAAAAGCAAATAACACTTAGATGATGTCTTTGAACCCCATCCGTTATTGGTTGTGCGCTCTATACAATCCATGCCAATGAACTCATCATGAGAATAAAAATTGAATCAAAAGCTTTATAATGTTTTCTTCTAAGAAGGAAAGTCTCTATTTGGGAAGTGGGTGCTCCTTGCAATGTCAAGTACTCAATCAAGCTTGCCCATGAATAACTTCATGCTTTCACTACTTTCAACGCTAATCTGTTTCTTCATTATTTCTCAAAGTTGAACCACTTCCAGTTAGCATAAAGTGCTTCATTTTCAAAAGGCATGGTGTTGTTTGGGAGGGGTTGGGGTAGTTGAGTAATAAGAGGAGGAGGTAGCTTTTCCCTGTATTTCTTTGCCATCATATCAGCCTCCAAAAATACTCTCTATTGGCAGAAAATAAACAAGCATTTGTCAAGATCAATCTAATTCAAACCAAAGACTTTGATACAAAGAAAAGGAATATATACCTCTTTATTTGATAGAAATAGACCAGGTTCACTTTCAAGGTCCGCAATGCTGCACTCCGAGAAGGCAAATAGACATCAGCAGTAATTTATAGAACTTATGTTTCTATAACACTAGTTTTTGAGAGAAAGGGTTGTTAAAGAAAATGTCTCTTGGTAAAGAACAAATAAAATGTCAGCAGAGTGAGCCAAATACTCTCTACTACTACAAAGTTAATTTTATCACACTTTGCAAGAAACCCCCATAGAAGGAACGAAAGGAACAAATAGTTCAATCCTTTTCTCCTAGTTGTATATTAGGTAACTAGGTTCGCTTCTCTCGGAGTCTCACTCAAACTCATGAATTATCATTAAGTATTGGAATTGTGCTCACATCTTTTGGTCCTTTTCTTTTACGTGTGGCAGCAAAGCCAGATCTAAAAATGGAAAACTACGAGACTGTTCGGTTTGAGACTGTTTTCTATTTTATTTTTTATTTAATACAAAAACATTACTTTGTTTTCTTTTGTTTCCTTTTTCAAATATTGTATAGGAAACAATAGTTGTTTATTGCTTCCTATACATATATTTGAAAACCAAAAACAAAATGAAAATGTGTCATTTCTATAATTAAAAGTGAAAATAGAACATTTTTTCAAACCAAATAGTCTCTACATTTTTCAAAAAATGTATCAAACCATTTTACATAACATTTCAGCATGGAGGATATCTTATTCTCCAGCCAGCCTGTATTTTCACTATAATTTCCCAGTAAAATTTCTTTTTCAATGAATTTTTTTTTTATTGATTAATTTGCATGAAACAAAAGATAATTAGTTTATTTGGACCTATTCTCATGACCTAAACGCATTTCTTTCCTAAACTTGTTAAAATACCAAATTCGATTGTAAACAAGAATGGCTTTAACAGAAACGAATTGTAGCATGTTCAAGAAAGAGCCATTTAAAACCAAGGGCATCCAAAAAATCATGTGATGATGGGGTTTCAAGCCACTTGATATCTCTGAACTCTGAAGACATGGCACTCTTATAATGCAGGTGTTTTTCTTTCTTTTTATTCATTGTGGATATGTCCCAATTTTATTTTAACTTTTTAGTTACCTATTTTAACCTTTTCTTGAGGCTGGGTGATGCCTAACTTTGTAAGGAGTTCTTGTGCGTAAGGGGGAGGGCTAGGAATAGGAATTTTAATTTTTAATTTTTAATTATCTTGTAAGTTTTATTCTTATTCATTAAATATCCCAAATAAACGTACCAAAGACACTCCACAATTACATATGGAAGTCAATAGTCAACAATCTATTACCTTAAAGAAATTTTATCAGGAGTCACTGACTTCACAACAGAACTTTAACCTTCTCATCAATGGAAAGTATGTCACTGACAGAAGTATCTCAGCTCGAGTGATATTTGAAACATGAAGCAATCCACTGAAGGTATCCAACAGATTAATTTGAATGTCAGGTTTATATATATACTGAAGGTACAAAAAATGTCAGCTTGATGAACTAACAATTAAAACTCATGATAAATTAAATGTGAGGTTATATATATATACAAAGATATGCAAATGTTGAAGATAATAAGGAGAATGGCATGACAAAGTAAAGCACTTTACAACAAAACAGCCAAGCCAGAATCTCAGATGATGCAACTCTTTCCAGAAAAAAAAAGGATAGGTATGTGCTTAATGCTCATGAGTATTAAGAAAAGAATAATAAGCATGGGAGTAAGAAAGAAAAAAATTGTGATCGTCCAAGGAATGATGATTCACCTTACATTTCTAAGCATGTTTAAAATTTGTTTCATCAACATAGCCATGGAGCTCAATTTGAAAAACAAAATAGTGTGAAGAAATTGAAAGTTAAAATACACAAGACATCAGCTAGAAAAACTCCATAAGGGGGTGACTGAATTTTTTGGCATGGCAGAAAAGAAAACACTCAAATTAATACTTCTATGACATCTACTCAATTCAACAGTTTCAAATGCTGCTATAGGAGGAATATTTTAAAAGTGGGCAACAAACATAGTGGTAATTCACCTAATTGTTTAACTGCAATGACTGGACAATTTAATCTTGCTAGAGTTTAAGCAGGCCTTCACAATTTCATCAATTTCAAAGGTGAATGAGTAGGTTTTCCTACAAAAAACATTCAGGTTGTTGTGCATTGAATTATCTAGTTTGTTTCCCATCTTCCTAACTGCCATATGTAGGATCAACTTGCGTTCACTTTTTCTTTCTCACAAGTGGCAACATCAAAGCAGGGAAGTTGGAAGCATTTAAGTATCCAACAATACACCAGACAGAATAATTCTTGGAAATAAGAATTGCATCTAATGAATCCTTTGAATAAAGTTCTGACTTACCCACAGGGAAAAGGAAGCATAAATAACAACTTAGCAATCTATACCCAGATATCACTCACCTTCTATTCGTTTTTCCTATCATAATTTGAGCTCCATAAGGAAGGATCTTTTTCACAGTCCCTTCTAGAGTGTTCCTTCTCGAAGATGTAGCTTTTCCTGCAACATTATATTAATCACAGTATGAATTTCAAAAGAGAAGAAAAAAGAAAGCAAAACTAAAAGATCCAAGTCCAATACTGAAATATTGAAACTAGGCAACAATAAAGAAGTAAATAGACAGATTTGAGTACTGACCCAAGCTTCCTTCTGACTAATTATCAAATTGTTTTTAGCTTCATCTACTAGAGTAATTTGTACATACATATGACGTCCCATCTACATGATTATCATCAAACAGTTATAAGGCTAAGGAAATAAAATGAAGACTAAAACAATGAATAATGACTGAAACATCAAATGTTCAAACTAAAATAGTTTTCCAGATGTTAAGAAACTGGAAAATAGAGGTTGTTTTTAAGTAGAGAAATAATTTTTCATGTCATGTGCTGAGCAATTGAATTTGAAAAATAAATACATACATTAACCGAGAGGAGGCTGATCCTACAGTATTTATGCAGTAGAACTTTATCACCATTTTTCATATTTTTAACTCCCCCATTGAATTATGAGTATAAGAATTTGAAAAGACTGGTTTCATTTTTTGAAAAAGAAATACAAAATAAAATAAAAAAATATAAGCCTGAGGCCAAATATAGAGATCTTACTGAAGCAATTAGAGAAGACGTTGTTTTGAATACATAGTCAGAACAAAATGTTCTTAAATGTTAAATATCCTAGGATACTTATTTAATAAGTAGTTATTAAAAACTTAAAATATCAGCCATTTTCTTAAGGCTCAAACATGCCTAATGCTTGAAAGATAATGGAATCAATTGAAAGCAACAACAAAAATTGACAGGAAGATAATACAGGCAAGATAGACTGAAGCCACAGAAGACTTCAATTGAGCCCAATTGCTAATCCATATCAGTGAATTATAAATATTGTTCATGCTAATCCCACTTATTAGCAAATAATACAATCATAGAGTATCCAGAATTCAGATGAAGCTCATAAGCTCCAAAAATAAAATTTTATTTTTATTTTATTTATTTTAGGAGGAAAACTCCAGGACTGAAAACCTGAAACTCACATTCTCTTTCAATTCAGTAGAGCAATTTACTCTTTTCATAAGCTCAGCCTTAGGTAGGAAAGCTCGTAAACCTGCAGATCCAAATTCAAGAAGAGATAATCATTTACTCGATACATGAAATTAAATATTAACGATATTGACACAGACCTCAATCCTTGTCAGCAGGCCCTTAGTATTCCACTCTGTGTTCTAACTCTATAGGTTCATTGAGCTGTTTTAACTGTCTAACATTAAAAGCAGAAGATTTAAATCTCATCATCAAAATAAGTTATTTGTATTTGTAGGTGTTAAAATTGATTAAAACAAATATCTGGCACAAGATCAATGGTCTCTACCCTAATTTGGTAAAAATCTATTTATACTAAAGCTGGCGCCCTCCAAAGTAGTTACTCTCATTCTTTCATAGTAACCACGCGCAGTAGCAGTTGGGTTTTTCCTCTCTGGAGTGATTACTATGAATATTCATAGTAGTTACGCGCAGCATCTTCAATTTGTGCATGCTCTGGAGTAATTACTATGAATATTCATAGTAACCACGCGCAGGTTTGGTTGATTCTGGGCTACTGTAGTTGTCACTTTAAGCTTTGAAAGTGATCACTTTGGTCCCTTTGCTGGAAGTGGCTTGCTGTAGTTGTCACTATCAATATTGAAAGTAGTTACTTTCACCTCAAATTCCTCAAAATCCAATAATTCTTCAAAATAAGCTTGGGGATTCCTGCCATATTATTCAAATGATCAAAATATGTAAAATAAACTATCTAAATTCATGTAAATTAACAAAAAACTAAGAAACCTATATTATTTAGCCTAATTGGAATATTCATCTTATTACACTATCTAAGTCTATTCTTTTCTATAAAAAGTAATAAATGATGTATAAAAATGTAGTAAAATGTAGATTCATCACAAGTAAACTTATAAGACAATTGCAATATCAAGTAAACATGATAATAATAATATATAATACACACAACTTTCTGGCCTATCATGAGATTTAAATTTTATAATTTTTTATTTTATTGTCTTAAAAAACCAAGAGAAAATAGGAGAAAAAATTACTATTATCTTAAAATGTTTATAACTTATCACATGATTTAATTTATTTATTTTCTTACTTTATTGCATTGGTTCAAAAGGGAAATCAAGAAAAGAAAAACAAATGTTTAATCACAAGATTTTATTTATATTTTATTGGTTTTAATAAAAAATAAAAACATAAAATAAAGAAAAAATAAGAAAAAGGTAAAAAAAAAAATGATTCATTTTGTTGTTTATGTCACAAGATTTTATTTTTAGTTTATTGATTTATTAAAAAAATAAATAAAAGAAAAAAAAGAAAAATGTCACTAAAAAAATGATTTATCTGTTGCTTGCGTCACAAGATTAAATTTTTAAGTTTGATTTTATATTAAAAAAAATAAAAAAAGAGTGAGAGTGCAAACAAAATGAAATCAACACAATAAAACAAGATCAATGATACAACAAAAAAAGAATAGGGATAAAGAAAACTTTATTTGATGTGTTTTTTTTGCTAGAATTTATTATTGCACTTAAAAAATAAAAAGAATTAAGAGTACAAACAAAATGAAATCAATACAACCTAAAAAGATTAATAATATAACCAAAAGCAAAAAGAGATAAAGATAACTTTACTTGATACACTTTTCTCAAAGTTTATGGTTTGCTCTCGATTTCTCCCTTTTATTGGCTTTCCTAATATTTAAATTTTGTTGCCTTTACTTTCTCATCCTCTCTAATGGTATTCTTTGAGAATATATGCTTCAAGAATGGTGATTTTATTTTTATTTTTATTTTTTTTTTAAGTTTTTCTATACTCTCAAAACTCTCTTTTTCTTCCACTCTCTGGAGACACTTCCCTATTGTTTATAGCTCACTTTCTTAAAACCCTAAACTCTATCGTCTCCACAATCTTTAATTAATTTTTATGACCACCATCAATTAATTTATTTTTTTTACTATCTCATCTACTCTTCTAAAAATCTACACACTATTTTAATTATTTTAAAAAAAATTAAGTCAATTTTTAGTCACTGATCCACTACCTATTTTCAATTTAAAAATTAAAAAAAAATTGAATTTTTAAATTAGTTTTTATCCATTATCTTAACCTCCTACAAAATCTAATTATTATTTTTAATTTTTATTTTGAAATTTTGTTTTATTATTTTAAAAAAGAATCAAAATAAAAATTAGTTATTCACACCATAAAGGACCGAAAATATTGATAGTTTTCAGTCCTGTTGAACGTAGGATATATATATATATATATATATATATATATATATATTAACACTACTGAAAAATCGAGACTTAAAAATTTGCCATGACCATTTGAAGGGGAATTAAAAGTCCATTTCAATTAGAAATAACTTTAAAAAATCATGAAAATTCAAACCAAATTTCACATTAGACTACAACTTATAAGTTATATAATTTCATCCAAAAATGAAAATGAAAATACTGAAGTCATCAAAATTCGGTAGATAGCATGCAATGGGAGTTACGACTTAAACTTCTCCCCCTTTATACCCTACTTGAGTCACAGGCTATTAAAGCATTCTAACACTTAATTGTTTAGGTCCGACCAAAAATTAAATTTATTATATTTTAATTTATATCAAATCAAATTCTGATAATGTGATATTACTTATAAAAAAATGAAGTGAAAAACTAAATAAATAATTTTAAAATTACAAATAAATCATCTAAACTTCTTTTAGAATGATAATTTTATTTCTTTAAATATTTGTATATTCAACATAAATTACTCAAAATTTAATGTATTATCTTTATTTTGATTATATAAAATCATAAATATTTGTTGGAACTTCTTATAAGAAAACACACGTAGTGAATAATTTTAAGAGTTTAATTTTGATATATTATCAGCATGAATATTTTTACATGGTCAACTAATTGGAATACATCATAAATATAACTTTTATATCAATGATGTTTACTGATATGATCTGCTAGTTTATAATTGAATGATAGAAATAAAAAATTATATTGTCAATATATTTAAATTAAATTCGAATTTTAAACAGATAATTAGACATCAATTTGAATAATTAATGTAGATGGTATCTACCTAGAAATATAGGTTTGTTGATAGACTCGCAAACACTTGTCCTGTGTTTCAAGCTACGAACAAGATAATCTATGCAACTACGGGTAAAATTTTGTTGACGAAACATCAAATGATTTAATATCTTGGAACATCAATCGTTATCTGGAAATTAGCAACACGCGCGATACAAACCCTTAAACAAAAACAAAAGGAGATGCAAAGACAGAGAAGGAAACAAGGTGAAAAGTAAAGCATCAGTGAACAAATGTAACTATAACTTACACAGAAATTTACATACAACTACATGAATCTACCCATAGAACGACTAGCTAAAAAGATTGGGAAAAGTTATTTTTTATATGAAGGCCACAAAAATAAAAGCAAATAACACTTAGATGATGTCTTTGAACCCCATCCGTTATTGGTTGTGCGCTCTATACAATCCATGCCAATGAACTCATCATGAGAATAAAAATTGAATCAAAAGCTTTATAATGTTTCTTCTAAGAAGGAAAGTCTCTATTTGGGAAGTGGGTGCTCCTTGCAATGTCAAGTACTCAATCAAGCTTGCCCATGAATAACTTCATGCTTTCAACTACTTTCAACGCTAATCTGTTTCTTCATTATTTCTCAAAGTTGAACCACTTCCAGTTAGCATAAAGTGCTTCATTTTCAAAAGGCATGGTGTTGTTTGGGAGGGGTTGGGGTAGTTGAGTAATAAGAGGAGGAGGTAGCTTTTCCCTGTATTTCTTTGCCATCATATCAGCCTCCAAAAATACTCTCTATTGGCAGAAAATAAACAAGCATTTGTCAAGATCAATCTAATTCAAACCAAAGACCTTTGATACAAAGAAAAGGAATATATACCTCTTTATTTGATAGAAATAGACCAGGTTCACTTTCAAGGTCCGCAATGCTGCACTCCGAGAAGGCAAATAGACATCAGCAGTAATTTATAGAACTTATGTTTCTATAACACTAGTTTTGAGAGAAAGGGTTGTTAAAGAAAATGTCTCTTGGTAAAGAACAAATAAAATGTCAGCAGAGTGAGCCCAAATACTCTCTACTACTACAAAGTTAATTTATCACACTTTGCAAGAAACCCCCATAGAAGGAACGAAAGGAACAAATAGTTCAATCCTTTTCTCCTAGTTGTATCATTAGGTAACTAGGTTCGCTTCTCTCGGAGTCTCACTCAAACTCATGAATTATCATTAAGTATTGGAATTGTGCTCACATCTTTTGGTCCTTTTCTTTTACGTGTGGCAGCAAAGCCAGATCTAAAAATCGGAAAACTACGAGACTGTTCGGTTTGAGACTGTTTTCTATTTTTATTTTTTATTTAATTACAAAAACATTACTTTGTTTTCTTTTTGTTTCCTATTTTCAAATATTTGTATAGGAAACAATAGTTGTTTTATTGCTTCCTATACATATATTTGAAAACCAAAAACAAAATGAAAATGTGTCATTTCTATAATTAAAAGTGAAAATAGAACATTTTTTCAAACCAAATAGTCTCTACATTTTTCAAAAATGTATCAAACCATTTTACATAACATTTCAGCATGGAGGATATCTTATTCTCCAGCCAGCCTGTATTTTCACTATAATTTCCCAGTTAAAATTTTCTTTTTCAATGAATTTTTTTTTATTGATTAATTTGCATGAAACAAAAGATAATTAGTTTATTTGGACCTATTCTCATGACCTAAACGCATTTCTTTCCTAAACTTGTTAAAATACCAAATTCGATTGTAAAACAAGAATGGCTTTAACAGAAACGAATTGTAGCATGTTCAAGAAAGAGCCATTTAAAACCAAGGGCATCCAAAAAAATCATGTGATGATGGGGTTTCAAGCCACTTGATATCTCTGAACTCTGAAGACATGGCACTCTTATAATGCAGGTGTTTTTCTTTCTTTTTATTCATTGTGGATATGTCCCAATTTTATTTTAACTTTTTAGTTACCTTATTTT